GGTCACCTACACCGAGGCTCTGGCCTGGCTCTAGGCCTGGGTAGTCAGCGACAAAGCGGAGCCGAGCACCCAGGCTATCGAATTCGAAGCTCCACGACTCAAGAACTCAGTATATACGTACAGTACCGATTCATAAATGCCGCAAAAAGCCAGCATGTGCCGGCTTGTCGTAAAGGTTGCTAAGTACTGTCGCGAATTCACAATACCAGCTTTGTATTCATGTGGTTTAGTAGCATTTTTTTTGGCCGGAATTTTTTTATTCGCCCGCGCGCACTAGTTTGGGGATCTTCAGAGGATGTCATCCATAAAATTAAATCGGTGTGGCCTAACTAATGTCAAAATCACCTTGGTGAATTTAAGTTGTGTTCTATCAAATAATTGCAAGGCGAGCACGATTTTACCTTCACCTGGTCTAGCCCAACAAACTACTGCACCTGTTTATTCTCAAAGTCAAATAATTCATGTGTATAGTGAGCAGCAGGTTCGCCGACTCTGTTAACGTTCTGCTACATAATGTAATCCAACACCACAGGGTATTACTACAGCCCCAGTTACCATGGTGACAGACGTCTGGTCCAGTTCATTTCTAATCGGAAGAAGAAGAAGAAACTGAGCAAAAAACAACGTTTTATTTCTGCAAAGGTAAGGCCACAGCAAGTAATTTTTATGGATAAGGCTCTGATTTATTGTTTTGATTTTTACTTTGATGCATGAATTTTATTCCTTTTATATGTTCCCACTGAATCAAAACCATCTGTACAAAGATTGAAAACTTTCCTTTTTCTAAAATGTTTCAGTGACAAATGGATGTTAGCACAATATATGTATCATTTCTTGTTTAACAGGGTTTATGATGTCAAAATTTCAAAATATAGGAATCTTGTTTTTTTTTTTGGCCCGTCTTGTTTTCTTTTCGCCCTCTCGCATTAGTTTTGGAGTCTGGGGAGGATGGCATCCATAAAATTTATTTGCTGTGGACAAAACATAATAAGTGGCATACCCAGTAGGTCGTTCTGAGGCAGCCAGGCCATCAGTTTGGTGTTGTTGCCCAGCCCGGCCGGCTTCTGTCCCGTGTACCGCCACACCACCTTCTGTCGGAGTCGGCTGAAGGCTGCGGCGAAGATGTCTATCTGTTCCGCCCGCATAGTCATCACCACCGAGCCGAAACTGACGACAACCACCCCGTCCTCTCCAGAAGACTGCATGAACGCTTCCAGGTCCTAGGTGAATAATAATATAATAACCTTTATTGTACATTCATGCCCTATCGGGCTAAGTACAGGTAAACAGATGAAATAGGTAATATACATGTTTGTATTACAAACAGCTCTAAAACTACTCTAATACAGAGGTTCGGCTTCTTCTCGTTTCTTTGTGATGTTAAAAATATAATTTGAGATGGGTTTGTATAGTACAGGATGATCAAAGCACATAAGAAAGATAATTTTTTCAATATTAGGCAAGTATTGGAAGTATGGAAACGTACTAGTAATATATCTAACAAGGGAAATCGTAGATTTCAAACCTCCGTTTTTTTTGTGTTCTATTGGTTTAGGTTATTTGTTTGTGTGTAGTATGAAAGTTATGTGCGTAATATGTTTGTATGTGTTTGATGGCTACTGACGGTTGGTTCGGTATGGACTGTTGATTAACGTGTCTCACAGTCTGACAGTCTGCACCGTCACCCGCGCCATTACCCCCGCCGTCATCCCGCGCCGTCATTGCTGCGCCGTCACCCAAAATTTTTATCGGAACCAGACACCCCTCTGTTTGACCCCTTTTAAATGCTAAGACCCAAAACTGCAACCGCCCCATTCCTTAACAACATGGTAATTACCATTTTCAGCATGGCGGGGGTGTCCGGAGCACTTAAAAACCTTTTATTTCGACGCCCATAAACACATATGCAATTAAACAAAAACGTTCTGCATCATCTGCAGCCCAATAGCAATACGTATACCGAACCACAGACAAATCCGTCCATCCGATCGCGAGAAACAGCTGCTGACAGAAATGTTTCGAACCATAGTAAAACCTCCTCGCGGAAGGATATCTCCTTCCCCGGAGGTAAAAAGGTCATTTCTTTCATTACTATATAAATCAATAACACAGTGGGCTTCATCTTCTACTTTGTTTGAGCTACAAAAATAAACCAGACTCAGGTAGCCCATGCTCTAGTCTAGTCTAGTCTAGTAGTGTTATTCAACGACCAACAGATGACATAGCTGCTAAGAGATGCCTTGTAATAATGTCACTTACTGACTCAGTGGCCAATACCAACTAGGTTTTGATTAGATTCTACCGGTAGCGATCGACAGAGATCGCAATTGGGATCTCTTCTAGTACAATCGGTGATTCGCACACATGCACACACACACACACTGTGACACACACACTGTGACACACACACACACACACACACACACACACACACACACACACACTGTGACATACACACAGACACACTCATACACAGAGCAACAGCATGGGCTGCTTTTTTTAGTCCATCTCGTATCTCGTAACTAGCCTCGTTGGCTCCGCTTTCCAATGAGGCTACATAGACGGCATGGCAACCGTTTGCAAAAAGACTACAGAACTCTTTCCTCCACCAGTCAATCAGACTCTATAACTGGACTGTACAGATAGAGTCTGGCACAGGATAAATGGACCTTGTAAATATCTGGGTTGTACACTTACTGTACTGTTTTTATAGTTGTTACCTCCATGAAATGTGTCATGGAGGTTATATTTTCAGTTGCGTTTATCTGTCCGTCCGTCCGTCCGTCCGTCCTTCCGTCTGTCTGTTGGTCAACAAGATAACTCAAGAACGCCTGGATGGATGGGTTTCATACTTGGTGTGTTGGTAGGGTGTGACGAAAACTGGAAATGATGAGATTTTGGTCCCCCTAGTGGCTTCCCTTGGTACTGCAGCGCAACTTCCGGTTTTGATATCTCACGATCTGGACATGCTAGGGTCATGAAATTTTGATGGAAGGTAGCTCTCGTGCTTGGGAAGAAGTCATATGAGTTTGGGCCCCCTAGCGGCTTGTTCTGGAACTGCAGGGCACTTTCTGGTGAAATGTTTAAAAGCCAATAAGTCCAGACAGGAACAACATATTTTCATTATTTTTGGTGTGTAGATAGCTGAGAGAGAGCTGTACATAATTAAATGCAAATTATGCAAATGAGGACTGTATTTGCATAATTAATGAGGAAATTCTATAATTACAGTGTTTTACATTATACTATGTAACCTATGGCAGGCGGAACTTCAACAGATACTAATTATGCAAATGATGACCTAATTTGCATAATAAATGTGAAAATTCTATGATTTCGTAATGGTGAATGATGAGAATGTCATACTTGGGACATCTGTAAATTAATCAAAAGTTAACATACATCACGATGCATATATCATGTTAATGCAGAGGTCATTTGAACAATTAAAGAAGAAATTTACATTTACATATCAAGATCATATTTCATGGAGGTATGAAATCTCGGAATTCTAGTTATAAATATATAATTTTTTTACATTTTATCTTGTAAATATCAACGCCATTCAGGCAACATTGTATGTCATGTTTGCCTGTTATGTTTGGTATCCAAATAAAGAATTGAATTGGGAAGTGAACCGATGCTGGGCTCGTCAGACTCACCTCGGAAAGCGGTGCTATCTCGCCCACATTCAGCCCGCCCACCTGGACCATGTTGGGCATGGTGGGGCGGGGGAAATCCAGCACGAGGTCGGTCCGATACAGCCACAGCGCCGTACGGGACATGACGCTCTGTGTAGTCTCTCCCTCCCAAAGGTACTCCCGCGCCACACCGTCATACACGCTCCCCGCCAGCCAGCGCCGCGCCGTGTGAACAAGACTGTAAAAACCTACGTTCTGAAGTCTGTGAGAAAAAGTCATCTGATCTGTTAAATCCGTTTCTACCGACGTTACGTAGGAGAGAGGGAGAGGGACTCCTGTAGCAGTAACGTCCTGAAAGTAAACATCATACCGCAGGACGGCGACATTAGGAAGCCCGGGGTCTACACGAGCTGCCATCAGCGCGCCACAGGGGAAGATGGGGTCCGAAATCACTACCCTGTACTGTAGCGCCCTCAGGCGATCCACCAGGGTACTGTCCCTCAGTAGTAGGTCACAGTGTTTGTTCATTGTCCCGGTCATGTTGATACCTGCTTGTAAGACCTGGAAAACAGACGTCTGTCCAGCCATTGCAAAGTTGTGGTCTATAAGTTCCTTGATTCGTGCCGCGGTGCCGTGGTCTTGAAAGGTCTCAAATGAAAAATCAGGCCTCTCTGACCGTCTTTTATCTACGATGTCCTGGGGAAGAATCACGGTGACGACATGACCCCTGTTCACCAATGCCTGTCCGATTTTTGCCAACGCGAACCAGTGGCTCTCGAACCCTGGTGTAGGAATCAACAGAACCTTCTCCGAACTGGTCCTGTTCTTGGTCAAAATACTCAGCATAACGAACAAGATAACGGAACATTGAAGCTTACTCCCCATGTCGCCTAGCTCGGTATGCTTTTCAGACGCCAGTTAGTGACCAAGGACGCGTTGAACAACTCGGACAACGACAAGTGCAGACGAGGAGTTTTATTCCAGACGTGTTTACAACACGGAGTCGGTGTTAGGACTGACTCCTGGAGGGGTCACATAAACTATGAGCGCACGGGCTCATTAGCATAACCAACTCTTAGTGGCGTGATTCCTTTTCTTCTTTCTTTGCTTCTTTCTTTCCATCTTTCTATGGAGGTTAACGTAACGTTTGAAACATATATTAGTATATTGGCTACTACATATGCTTAGTAAAACAAAGTCTAGCTAACTTGAAACTTTAGAACTCAACAGCTCATATTAAAGTGCACTACTGGAAACCAGTTGCAAACTTTGGTCTTAGTTTGATGAATCATGTTTAAGATACAACTGGTTATGTTTAAACAAGAGGTAACGAACTAGCCCTGAACTTGGCTGAACTTCTACTATCTTTTATCTATATCGGTATCTAAACTAGGTCACTAACTAGCCTTGCTAGATGAGTCAAGATAACAAATATATCCTACTAGATACTGTATGTGAACATAAGAAAATACATGTATATCATCGTACTACATGTGGGTGGAAGATCACATATCATATTACGAGTGGGTCAGAGATCAGAATGTTCGTCAAGTAACGTTAGATGTTCAGGTAGCGATTTTAAATGTTCTGTAACAGGTACAGTTCAGTTCGCTGTGTGGCCGGTACAGTTCGGGTCTAGATGGCGTTATCACGGTGGTGTCGAGGGACAGAACGTACACGAGGTTCGATCGCCAGTTCTCGAAGGGGTTGATCGTCTCAGTCTTGGTTAAGCACCACTGGCGCGGAGCTCGAGTGGCGGTCGCCATGATGTCAGAACAAAGAACAAAGGAACTGACCGAGAGAAGCACGTGCGTTCGTCTGGGCGATGCAGGAACACGCCTTGTTTTGGTGCAGTTCGGTTGCGGACCCGGCGCAAGCTGTCTTCCTAAACGAAGGTTGGCCCAATCCGTCCGGTGCGGGGAACTCTCTTGGTTCGGTCGCCAACCGGCACGAAATTGTCCTCTTCGGGGAAGGGCTGCCCGGATGCGTGGTTGAACTCACAAAGGAACAAGATGGCGGGCGCGCTGCACTACCGGATGTGGCCGGAGAATGTCGATTCTCCGCCGGCTGGAATAACTGTGGACAGTCCTCCCGGTTGCGTCTTGGAGCCCCGTCGGTCGCCTCCCTGGGTGTGCCGTCGCCGAAAAGTGGTTCCGCGTGGAAATGTGGCGAAAAGGCTGAGGATCAGGGAAGGCTTGCTGACCTCGGGTGACTCTTTCTGCGGTCAAAGGAGGATGTCTGTCCGCCTCGTTGCGTGTCACTCTCCGGATGCTTTAAGGTGCGATCTCTTGGACGAAGTTTTGACGAAGCATGGGTTGGACGTTTCCCAGCGCTGCCGCCACGCCAGTTAGTGACCAAGGACGCGTTGAACAACTCGGACAACGACAAGTGCAGACGGGGAGTTTTATTCCAGACGTGTTTACAACACGGAGTCGGTGTTAGGACTGACTCCTGGGGGGGTCGCATAAACTATGAGCGCACGGGCTCATTAGCATAACCAACTCTTAGTGGCGAGACTTCAACGAATGGTCGTGTATTGTGTAAGCTATAACCTCTAGACTTCTATTACCAGCAGAGTGTGTTGATTGGCGTGATTCGTGCGTTGTACACTATATGTTTTGATCCTGACCAATCAGGGCACCTGTAAGTGTTGTTTGCAGGAGAGAGTACATAAATAGTGTCAGCAGCTTGTGTACACAGTGATCTGTTGGCCGCATTCTTGTACTCGTATGGTGCTTCACATGTTTTTCTCTTGCGTCCACGTTGTTTCATCTGAAAATGTAAGATGTTTTGTTAAGGCCACAGCATTTTTATGGATGACATTTATACAAAGTCATTTTTATGGATGACATCTGCGCGCGCATTAATTTTCGCCTGATTTTGAAAAAAAAGAAAAGAAATTTTGTTGCCTTCTGACAGTGGTCAACATGCCGAGAATGGGCAAAGATGTCTGTTGCCATGCCATGAAGAGAGGAGACAAGAAAGGGCTCTAATTTAATGTTTTGTTTTTTTACTTTGATGCAGTGACATGTGATGTTGGCTGTGTATATGTAATGTTTCCACTGAATCAAAACCATTTGTACAATGATTGAGTCAATTTTTAAAAATGTAGGAACCTTGTTTTTTTCGCCCGCTCGTATTAGATTTGGAGTCTGTGGAGGATGTGATCCATAAAATTTACTTGCTGTGGCCTAAATTCTAATCTAGAGAATTTTTGCAAAAGAAGTAATTTTAACCTATTTGATTGTATTTCTACATGTATGTATGCATGTATGCATACATGTTCATAATAGGTGATGTGGCGGAAGGAGACTTGAGAGAAGGTAAAAAGCGACCCCTGGAGAAAATGTGTCATTAAATGTACACGCATGACCGGTGCAATAGCTCAATTGGTAGAGTGCTCGCTTTGTAACCGGGAGGTCGTGAGTTCAAACCCCGGCCGGATCATACCAAAGACTTTAAAAATGGTACACACTTCTTTCTCTGCTTAGCACTCAGCACATATGAGAAAGAGTGTGGGAAGGTCAAACACACAGCACTACCATCGGACTAGCCCCCTGCTGTAGTGCATTGCACAACTGTGTGTCGCCCAAGGGCTACAGAAATGGAGATGGGCACCAGCCTACGCTCTGCATAAGGGAACGGGGGTCTTTTCTTTCTTTCATGACCGCCCTCTGCTTAGAGGCTTTGTAAAAAAAATATAACTTTACCATTTAAGAGTACTTAGAGACATGGCTTGGACAGTACAGATTTAACACTGTGGCTTCATGCGGCCAATATTTGAATATGCATGTCCTGTTTGGCCCCCTGGTATTACTGCCACTGTATGTTTTTTTTTGAGTCCCCACAATAAACCATTGATTATGTTTACCGAAGGAAAACATATTGTTTTTACTAATTAGTTTCTTCCTCTTCTGTTCCAAACACTAACCTCTGACCTGGCCAATGACACGATTTGTTGACGTCTGTCACCATGGTGACTGGTGTTGGGTTACATAATGTTGCAATTTCATGGTCTGCTCTACTCTTGTCTGACACCATATACTTCAAGTACATGTATATGAATGTGTTTGAATAAAAATTAACAGGGCAGACCATGTCTGAAGGTAAACATTGTGCATTTGCTTTGCAAATGTTACTTCTCTAGTTTATTAATTTCTTACCTTCAATAAGATGTTTTCGGCTATGGTGGAGTGGCTGTTTGTCATTTGCAACCTCTTAAAGTATACTACATTAAGTCAAACTTTCACCACGTCTTAACTTAAGCAGAGACATTGAGAGAGTGTTTCGATTTCTTTTATTTTCCTTCCTTTATGGACCATCAGTTCCACAATATACCACGTTGTAACGTTAACGTTACTTTCACGTCATTTGAAGTTAATGCATGTAAACCTGGCTGTATTCAACCCCATGTATAAGGCTACGCGTGTGATGACGGTGTAAAACACAACGGACCTTTACATCAATCATAAAGTCTACATATCGTATCAACATTAGCTCAAAATAGACACTCATTAACAGATTATTCCGGCATTGAAATGTATGCAACCGCTAATAAATGAATGAAGACCTTTATTGTACATTTTGCCCCACTGGGCTAAAGACAGGTCACATATTGACAAAGTACATCATCAATGTTGATAATAAAACGGCTATGGTACACAAGTACTTTCAACTTCCTCTCGCTTTCTGGTAATCTTATAAATGTAGTTGGCTGTATGAGTAGTTAGAGCTGGTTTGTTAAAGACTACAAGGAATATAAATTTCTCTATACTATTCAAATACTTAAATTGGGAGTATTTGCTTGACACAAAATCGAAAAGAACGTTTCTTTCGCTGTCATACATGGAACAATCCACAATAAAATGTACCTCGTCTTCTACTTTACCTAAACTACAATATTGGCAGATTCTTTGCTCTAGAGGAGTGCGGTTATGTAATAAAGAGGGTACTGGATTGTCGTAGCCTGGTATTAATTCTATTCTAGCTCACTGATCGTCTACGTTGGTGAATATCCTATATAAAGCTCTAGAGGTGGTCAAAAGAGTGAACTAGAGCGTGGGATGGATACACAGGTTTGTATCGTATTCTACATATATAGAACCGTGCCTATCTATATCTAGTTCTATGTCTAAATGGGTTAGGGTTATAGGATCAGGCACGGTTCTTGATAGTCGCCACGTATCCAAGAACATAGATTTGCATCGCCAGACACTGTTCTGGATACGCGTAGACTATCTAGAACCGTGGCTTAGCACTATATAGCCTCTACCAGGCTTCGGGGGGCTCGAGTGCGGCAAACTGTACTCCCTAGCGGACCAACTCAGCCCTCGGCATGTTATCTCTCTAATTTGGCCGATTTCTACTCTTTCTAGTTACTCTCCAAGCAGAGGTTGTAGGGGAATGATCGTTACCTTTTTATATATGGCCGTTTTTTTGTCGCTACCCCCACCCGTCGGTGGCCGGCGACCTTTTCTGGCTAATGGATACTGCCTGGCCAATTTGATACTGTCTTTTTGCCACCGAAAGGGATCTGCTTGGAGATAACTTTCTAGCTGCCTCCCGAAGCCTGGTAGAGGCTAGCTGAGCACGTGAAGCACGGTACTGGATACAGATAGAAGAACTTTATTGCACGACAATTGCACATGGTACAATATATGGCAAACTACATAAAGAGAGTAGCAAACAATAAAATGTGTTGAACAAGACCTAATGTCGAATAAACCTAACAAATCTACATCATAATTATTCAAATAATAAGGGATAGCAGAACTCTTTGATAAAGTGTAACAATCGAGTGGGCTAATCACAAGTTTCGGAATTTTTTTCTAATAACAAAGCATTCCTTTATATATCTACCTATTTCTGCGTTGTGGGGACCATTACATGTAAAGATATATTCAAATATGTCTCTAACATCGAGATTCTTGAAATCTATTGTACTTGATTCGAGAAATGTAAATAGCTTGTTACAAAAGTTTGTCTACAAGCCTAAAGGATGCTGATCGGCGGAGCAGCTGGGGTTGTGTAGGTAGTGTACGGGATAGGCGGGGCCGAAGTTGATCTCCCAGCAGCACAGCTCGCCCAGGTACTGGTACCCACGATGGTCACAGCTGCTGGTGGAGTAGTGCGCGTACAGGTGGACGGGGTTATCCGGGGTCACCTGGCGCTCTGGTGGAGAAGAGGAAAAATTCGCTATTTTTTTTTTACATCAATCTTGTTAAATTTCGACCTGATATCGTCTCTGGCACACATACGTAACTTGCTTGGAATGCGGCAATTGAAAACACTGTCAGAGAGAGGGAGAGCGAAAGAGAGGGAGAAAGAAAGGGAGAGAGAGATACAAAGACGGAGAGAGGAACTAAGTGATTCACAGAAAGACACAGAGATAGAGGCAAGAAGAGACAGAGCGATAAAGAGACAGTAGGTAGAGGAGGGAGGGAGCGAGGGAGGGAGGGAGAGAGGGAGGGAGGTTTACACACCTTTTACTCGAAATTTAAACACGCAAACACACAAAAAAACGCCAACTCATATACTTACTCAGCCTGGCACAAGCCGCGGCTCCTGCATCGTTGTTCAGGGGATGTACGGATCCGCCCAGAGCGTTAGCGGCAGCTCTCCTGTATAACACATAAAGATCATAGAATGAACAATACATTTAAAAGGTCCTGTCAATAAAGTTTATAGCAAATTCATGCCCGGGGGGCTAATTGCAGATTACAAACAGAAAAGAACAATGAAACGTAGTATAAAATAACCAAAATCTACATGATAAAAGGTAGTGGTCTAGAGCTATAGCTATGTTTAAAACTATGTCTAAGGGGTTTGACTTCTCTTTTTTAGACAATGGAAGACGTAATGTCCCACCTTTTCTAAAATTAGTGGGTTTTGGGAAGTTAAAAGAAGAATTGTTTTCACAGAATTTTTTCACTATTGACAGGATGAATAACAGAAGAAATCCACTATTGACAGGACCATCCTGTCAATAACAGAAAAATTTTCATTATTGACAGGATGGTAATAGACACTTTTTAAAATGAAAGCCTGATAATGTAGAAAAGTCTAAACTGAGTGATGTAAAAAGCATTGGACCATTATGACCCTTGCGACAGTTCCACAAAAGTGTGTTTAG